CCGTCATCGTCGGAGTCGTGCTCTTCGGCGGTGGAGCGAAGTTGGGAGGAGGATTTGGGCGCGGAGGCAGACATGCTCATTGCACGGGAGATGCTGGCGCGTTTGGCCATTGGTGAGGCGGCCATTCCGGATGGGGAGCCGATCTTGGATCTTGCCGCGACCGAGGAGGCGAGCATTGATTTCGAAATGAAACTGCCCACGGCGACTTCGTCTGCGGCCTGCTTCTCTTGCCGTTCTTGCTCTTGGACGAACGCGGTCTCCGGGTCGCGGCGAATGTCGGTTTCCAGGTCGCTCAGCCAGAAGGGGAAGCTGTTGACGTAGTCCTCGAAGAGCTCGGCGACGCCATGGACGAATTTGGAGAACTTGGGTGCTTCCTTGACGAGATGCGAGGACATGAGATCGGCGAGCCAGGCGTTGTTGCGGGTGTACTTGGTGTCTTTGACCTTGATCTCGAGGACTGCATGCGGGAAGCGGTCGATCTCGCCTTGCTTGATGCTGGAGAAGGGGAATTCGAGCTCGCGATCATCGATATCGGAGCGGTGCCAGTCTTCGGGGTCGCGGCAGGGGCGGTCTGTGTCGAGGGCGTCTTCGCGGATGAGGGCGAGGTCGGTATCGAGGGAGACGCGGATACGGTCGTCGCCCGGGATCTGGAAGGCGGTGCGGGTGTAGCTGGCGCGGAGGGCCGGTTCAAGGCTCTTCTCTGCGATGAAGCTTTGGATCTCGGAGACGTTGTTGCGGAGGTCAGTGACTTCTTTGGCGTCGGCGCCAAGGCGCTCTTCGAGTTTGGCGATCTGCTTCTCCAGCTTGTACTCGCCTTTCAGGAAGGGTACGACGTATTTCTGCTTGAGGGTGATGCGAATGTCGCGGCTGTTGGTTGCGTCGCTGACAACTTTCTTCTCCAGAACGATATCCGGCTTGTCGGCGAGCTGGCCAGTCCACCGTAGCCTCACAGAGCTTGCTTCGTCAGTCTTGTCGACCTTGGCTTGGTAGAGCTCGAATTTGTCGTTGTCGAGGTAGATGGAAGTAATGGTGGGGTCCTTTTGAGACGAGTCGACCACCTTGAGCGATTGTGGGTTGTAGACCAGGACTGGCAGACGCCGGAGGATGTACGTCTTGACCTCGAGCAAGTTGTCGACGTGGACCCAGAACTTGTATGCTTTGTACTCGTCCTGCGGTCGTATGCTTGTCCCAGATGACTCGGCGCGAGCCTGTTCGCCTTCAAGTATCTGGCGACTCCAAGTGTACATGGCAGACAGGCGGAACAGCAGTGGCTGGTAGTCCTCCGAGTTGAATGGTGTCTCCGTCATGCGGACTTGCAGCATGGGTCGGACTCGGTACTTCTGTCCTCGTCTCCGGTCATGTTTCTTTGCAGCTTTGAGGAAGCCAGTATAGTTGATTCTGCTGAACTTCTTAAGCTCAGTGATCTCCTTGGAGATGCTGTCGAGCTCCTTTATGACCTCGTTGGCAACATTCTTCTTCTCCTCATCGGTCTTTGCCGTGCCATCGGTGGTCTGCTGGAGCTTGGACTCGATTGCACTCGTTCGATCACGGATCTTCTGGGCTGTGTCGACCTGGTGCTGGTTCACTCGCTCAAGCTGAATTGTCACGAGTTCATGGACGAAGTTCTCCTCGTCCTTCTCGGACCAAGTACTGTCTCCCCCACTTCGACCTTGCGGAGAGGTCTCATCTTCCCTCAGCAGTTTCTTGATCTTGTTATAGTCGAGATACTTGTCTTTCCATGGTGGGTAGATCGAGTTCTGGAGGGTTTTGCCGAACCGCATGCTGATTGTCGTCTGAGTGTTGCATTCAGCAAAGTATGCAAGAGCTACGGAATATCATAGCGGAAAAATGCTTCTCATAGAAAAGACTTACACAAGCTCTCTGAATTAGCAGCACCGAGAAAGCACCCACGTGCTCTTCTGATGGGCGGGCAGAAGACGTCACCAGGAGATTGCAGACCCTAATTCCGAACCTGCCGCGGCAAACTCAATTTAGACCTGACATTCGAGAGTAATCAAACAGCGGGAATCCGCGACCACTGAATCTGACCTACCTGCTCTTATATAGCCCGCACCTTGCCTCGTCTTCTCTAGAGATGAGAACAATGTGAAGATGGAAGACTCACGCGCCATTTTGGCCGCTCTGCAGCCCGTGCTCAATCGTCAAATCACCCATCCTTTCCCTCATGTTCCCACTCCTGAGGGCTGCAAGAAACGGGCGTCTGTCGCAGTCATAATTCGCGTACGGCCCGCCTTTGCACCTGTGCCTGATCCAGCGAAGTCTGTCGTGGAAGTATCGAAGAATGAGCCTCCTGCAACCACCCTCGACGAGTACTTTGCGCAAGACTGGGTGAAGAACGGCGATCCAGAAGTACTCTTCATCAAACGAGCCGGCAGACCTGGCGATAGATGGTCAGGCCATACAGCGCTGCCTGGTGGCAAGAGAGACCCTGAGGACGCCGATGACTTTGCTGCAGCCGTACGAGAAACACGAGAAGAGACAGGCGTTGATCTGACCAATGCGATCCCGGCTGGCAATCTGCCAGAACGCATCGTCGCAACGACCTGGGGCAAAGTCCCCCTTATGGTGCTCTGCCCGTATGTGTTTGTCTGGCCCAACAAAGTACCACCGTATCTCTCGCCACAGCCTACCGAGGTGGCAAGCGTTCATTGGATCCCCTTGCGCGCTCTGCTGTCTCCTTCCATGCGGACCATTGAGAAGGTCGACATTTCGACCCGTATGGCCAGACAAGGTGGGCCCATCGCTCGCTACTTTCTGCGCGCCATGATGGGCAAGATGGTCTTCTCTGCCATTCAGCTCGTGCCCTCAGTAAGTGTATTTGCGACCTCCATCCCCGACTTTGTGCCGGACGAGACGCCCACAGATTGGTACAAGGGTCAATTTGGCGTTGCTGAATCATCACAATCACTTGCCCATCAACAGCCGATCCTTCTCTGGGGCTTGACATTGGGCGTGCTGGCGGATTTTCTGGACACCCTGCCTCCGTACAACGCCGTGGCTCTGTGGAAATATCCGACCTTTACGGTCCCGGACCTGAAGTTCTTGGTCTGGGTATGCACCCGCAGTCTTCGTCTAGGAAATGCGGGGGACCTATCCAGCGGTACCTGGCCGAGCAACACTGCCGCAGATGCGCAGACACAGGCTGTGGCAGTGACTGAAGGCGAGCCTACCAAGTTGGTACTTGAGCAGCTACGAGATCAAAAGAGAAATACAGTCGGCATAAGTGGTACTGGAGTCACGAGATCCAACGATGCTTTGTCACGGATGCTGGTTGGGTACTACGATCGCGTTAACGTGGCGCTGGCGATTTTCTTTGCATACCGGACGATTGCAGGAACGGCAGCCGCCGTGTGGTTGTTGCGGCTGTGGAAGCGGAAGATGACCAGCAGACTCTGAGTGCAAGGCAGAACAGATCAGAGAAGCCATCATGATCACCATAGAACGCTTGGCTTTCTTGGACGATACCTATTAGACTGTTGAGCTTTTGAAAAACACTGTAGCATACCAAGGATTTTTTGCAGCAGTCAGCAGCGACACAGATGGATACGACCTTGTCGTGCAGCTTAATTCAGGCCCGGGCGGGCTCTGCATCCACATAACAATACACTGTATACAACCATCACGATTCAGAACACTTGCTTCGGCCAACCTCGGCAGACCTTCGTCACCAACTCTGTTACCCATCAACGGATTTCGAGTCGATCGTCAGTTACCTCTTACAGGGCAATGGTCTTACTGTCCGCTCCGAGCTGGTTCTCGGTTTTTGTGAGGCTTCAGTATCCTGTACAAGTTGACTCACAACGGCTCGTGACTTGCTTCTAGCAGAGAAACAGGATCGCTCACAGCTCAGACTGGCTTTGAGAGGGTGCTTCAGCGTACGGAGGACTCACCGCCGCATGGCCGGGCCTTGAAGGGCTCGTGACTTGCTTCTGGCAGGGCGATGGGCCTGCCCTCATGGTGAAGTGACTCCAAGCTGGTGCTCCGTCGCTGTCTCTAATCACCAGGTCGTCAATGGGTTCTGTGTTGCTCCTGACTACGGTTGGACTCGCTCAGGGCAGACTGACTTCGAGATCGTGTTTTGTTGCTGGGACACTTCACTGCAGTCGAGTCATGCCATTCCAGAGCGACACGTGCTCGCTGTCGACCTGCTACCCCGCCATCTTGTCGAAGTATTTCTTTCTCGCAGATGATTCTGCAATTTTGTGCGTTTGCAATCTTTGCTGCTACTTTGCACTCAATTCGTTCTCTCAGTTTTCTCCAGCCCTTCGAGCAGTTGGAAGTCTTCCTTTCTGCGACGGCTGTTCGTTCTGCTGCCTAATCTCGTATCACACGGTCTCCATCGCTGCACCTCGTCGCCATTGACCACTGTCCTTGTCGTAGTCCGCCCAAGTCGTCATCATGCCGCTCAAATGGACTGATGCGATGGACAAGCAGGCAAGTGTGCATGCCACATTCTCTGCCTAACTAACAGGCTTGACACAGTTGCTGTACTACGCCTTCGAGCAGAAAGACACCGGTTCTATCGACTACGAGGCCATCGCTAGCAAGTTCCGTGAGTTCTTTCCACTTGATACGGTGGCCATTGCCTGACCTCGATGTAGCCGATGATGAGAAGCCATCGCTCGACGCCATCAAGCATCGCATGAGGAAGTTTCGCAAAGACTTCGGCACTGCTTCCCCCAACGGCAAGAGCAAAGCCTCTCGTAGTGGCGCTGAGGTTTTCGCCGCACCCGCTACTCCGAAGGCCAAGAGATCCAAGCAGGGAAATGGCGCAGCTACTTCTGGAGAGACAAGCATTGGCGACGGCTCGAGTGGTGCGGTCAAGGACGAAGATGACAGTCCTCTTACCCACGGCACTTCCACGAACCACGAGAAGACTCCTGCCAAGTCTGGTGTTGTTGTTAAGAAAGAGCCAAATGATCCGACCGTTGATACCGATGCTGCTCACTCTTCTGCCACTGAAGCTATCGTCGCTGCCGAACAGCCTGTCGAACCCCCTACCAAGGGAAGCGCCGGTGTTGTCGAATCCGCCACAGCTACAAAGCGCCCGATCAGTCAAGTGGACGGCTCGTGGGACTCAGGCAACGAGAACGATGCTCTGCCCGTCAAGAATCGCGCTGTGTATGCTGCCAAGACAGCTTTTGCAGCCTTCGACGCTGTAGGCACTCTTCCTCGCTCGCGATTGTTTCAGTGGCTAATATAGGAACAGTCTCAGAACCCAGATGACATCGATGTGAACGGTCTGCTCCTCGACAGCGAGAAGAAATGGAGTGTCGAGTATGCCCAAGATTTTTTGTCTACCTTGTCCGACCGCGAACGTGTCGACCGTATCGAGAAAATACAAACTGAAGTCAAGGTCCGTAACTCCCAGGAACATGCCAAGGAAGAAGCTCGTCGAGCTCGAAAGAAGCGCACGAATGACTATCTCAGCGGCAAGACCAACATCCATCCCAAGACAAACAAGCCGACCGATCCGCTTGAGTCTTCGAAAGGCCGTAAGTTCGGCATGTACGTCGATGCACATCCTGAGCTGGCACAAGTTCACATGAAGAAGAGAACGAAGCTCACCACCATCGTTGAGGTGCCCGAGAAGACTGCCCACAAGAAAGCCGCCAAGAAGCTTGCTGACATCGGGTACTATGATCTGCACCCGAGGTCCACCATTGCCTACACAACCACACCTCCTCCCCTGAAGAAGGCCATTGGTGCTGCTGATGCCAAATTTGAGAAGCAGTTTGGTGCGCATCAACGATGGGTCCAGGTAGCCGATGGAAGTTCTTCGCCATATCCGGCCCCAAGTGGCAGCCAGTCTTACGGTGACGATGAGGACCATTCGCACGGCGGTGGCAGTCAGTCTGACAATGATGATGAGGACGAAGAGGAGAGCTCGCCGACCATCGCCACGAAGACTTCGGCACGGAAGCGCAAACGTAGCCCAACCCCTTTGTCTTCCTCAGAGGACTCCTCAGAGGACTCGCCCGAAGAAGATCCTGTCAGTCAAACCATCGATGACGAGAGCGTTTTCGAAGGTTTCTCGGATGACGAGGAAGACATTGACGAGCAAGAACTTGGCGAGCAGAAATTTGCCGAGCAAGACGTCGACGAGTGGGATGCTACCAAGCTGGCTGAAGAGATACTGATCAAGGCTCGCGCGGAGTGGCAAGTACGAGTCAAACTGGACCGACCTTCCCTCCACGCCTGTTAAGGAGGCCTCCAACACCGCCGCTACCACTTCCGCAGCTGAGTCCAGCTCCAGCAGCGGCGCTTGGACCCAGGATTCACCCTACGGCACCACAATCATCAACGACGCCGGTGAAGAGATCCTGATTGGCAGCAACTACGAAGTTGAGACTCCGCCTCCAGCCAAGAAGAAACGTCGCACTACTCGCTCCCCCACCGCTGTTAAGCCTGCCGCCTACGACGGTCCCACCGAATCTGATGGCGATGATGAACGTGGCCAATTTGCCGTTGACGACAGTGATGATAGTGATTGGGCTGGCAATACCAAAGCAGGGAAGAAAGAAGGTATCATGCCGTCTGGGTGGAGTCCTAAGCGTGGCAAGAAGGGCAAGAGTGGCAAAGACGCTTGGGATAAGTTGCTTCGTGGTGAGTACCTCCTACTACTCTGCTCCTTCCCGTGGTATGTTGTGGTCTGCTGACACCTGCTTCTCGTTGCAGATCGTTGAGGTCGAGCTTCTTGTTCACGAACGACAGCATTGGGTATGAGACCATTGCGAGACGCGCTGTTGTGTCACAAGCACCTGTCGGAGGGTAGTCCGAGCTGCCTTCCCTTCACACTTTCTTGGGAAGCTGACAATGATACCGCGATATAGCGACGGCAGCATGAAGTCTACAGGTCGACGATGCCTCGAAGCCCTTCTATTCGTCTTTGGGGATGGCATTCTTGGGTCTGCAGAACTTCATTCCTATCTCACTCTGGATCTCGGAACGTGGATAATGACTCCTATGAAGCTGTCGGGAAATCGGAGCAGACTTAACTAGTCTCGGAGACGATTGAACACGAACTCGTTGGAGATATTTGCTGTAAGCTGTAACGGAGAATACCCAAGACTGGATATTTGCGGTATCTGGCTTGAACCCAACGGCAGTTCAGACATTTCTGGACACAGCTACCACAGCTGCTTTGGCTGATAGCTTCAACATAAGATAGCACAGCCGCAGACACGCTCTGCCGTTAATTAGACCGGCCAACGAGTGCTCCATGCAGGAATCGCTGCCTGCACTCCAATACAATCGATTCCCAACGTGACTCCTCTGTTCTGCCTGCTCTTACGTGCTGCCTGTGAGGTCCCCTCCTACCCCCTTCTGATCAAGCGTTGCCACCGCGAGCAATGCCATTTCGAAATACGATAGGTACAAATTGAGACACGGACTCGCACGTGCGACATTTAGAAGCCTCCCTGGACTCCACTTTCGACTGCTCCACGCGGACTGTATACTACACGCCAGACATGCTTCCGTAAAGGGAAGAGCGGAGTTCATGGAATGTAGAAGCACTCCGGGGCGGCCTCTGAAATCGGTATCAATTCAAGGCAGATGTGACTTTTTGAGCTCGAAATTAGGCTTGTGTGTGCAGGCTACCTGCATGCACATGGATTGATACACCCATCAGGAAGGCCTCCATGCTAAACTGATATAGCACGAGGAGTAGCCAGACTTGGAACACCTCTCGTCTGAAGAGGAACGAAGGCTACTACTTTGGGCTGCAAGGGACGCTCACTCACGAGACGTGTATAATGAGGGTGGGGGATGGGAAACAGAAAATTCTGGATGAGATACGGAAGCTCTTGGGTGGGAAACAGAAAGACTCGGATGGGAAACAGAAAATCTCGGGTGGAATACAGAAAATCTCGCATGGGAAACAGAAAGACTCGGATGGGAAACAGAAGTTCATGGATGAGAAGGTGAAGCATGAAGTTCTCATTTCCAGTAGCCAAGCAGGCAAGCTCTACGTATCCCAAGCCTGCCTGTCCTGACCTGTCCTGACTCCCAACTTTCTGTAGTAGTCCTCTGAAAACGCCGTTGGGTATCATTCATGAAAGCTCTAATCGTAGCTCGCCCTTGATATCTGCTTTTGGGCTTCTGTATTCGTAGTGTGCGTGACTGACTCTCATCTCTGCCATGCACAGAGTACCGATACCTCATGTCCCTTCCTCCTCAAGTCTGGGTGGGTCGTGGAATGATGGACGATGAGTACTGGAATCTTGCGCATGGATCTCTGGATGGAATGTCGTATGCTGGGGATGCGCAGTGATGTGTGTGCGATATGGAGTGGTGGCTAGGAGGGCTTTGTCAGCTTGTGTCCAAGAAACCGTAGGTGGCTCGCTTACCAGAGACCAGGCAATCTAGGCCTTCTCAGCAACCTTCTCACCCTCCTCGCCGTTGACACCCTCAGCGGCCTCCTCGGTAACTGCATCGGCAGCGACCTCGCCATCACCGTTCTCACCATCCTCGGCCTTCACCTCCTCGGAAGCCTCACCCTCAGCAGCAACCTCGGGCTCAGTTTCCTCAGTCTTGACTTTGGCGTCTTTGGCATTGGTCTTGCGCTTCTTGGGGGTCTTGGTGGGAGTTGCGGCCGCAGCATCGTCAGCCTCGGCGTCTCCGTTGGTGTCGGTGGCTTTCTTGCGCTTGCCTGCGGTGGACTTGCTGGCGGGGGTCTTGGTGCCTTTAGCGACTGGGGTGGCTGGGGTCTGCGTATGGATGTCAGTGATGAAGGTGTCGGATGGATGCGAATAGCTAGGGAGGACTCTGCGGGTCCATGTTTAATTGTAGACTTACATCTGGTCCTGCGCCGTCGGCGAGCAGCTTCTCGGCCTCCTTCTTTAGCTTGTAGAATTTTTGTCTGGGAAAGCAAGTTAGCGAAGGTCTTCTCGGTAGTAGACGATAACAGTATGGGCAACGCATAGAAAGACTGTCAGCGTACGAAAGAGCCTTCGCGGTCACGACGCCAGGCCCGAAACGATCGGCAACCTTCTGCAGGACATCGGTGTTGGGAGTGAGGTTGCCTTCACTGATAATCCAGAGTAGGAGCTGGCGCTCTAGCTCAGTGTTCCACTGGATAGGCATCTTGGATAGGGTGGTTGGGATGATTGAGGTCGGAGTGTGGAAGTGAGTGGTAGGAAGGAAGGAAAATGTCGCACGGGGCGGACTCTGGCAGATATTTTGAAGTCCGAGAAAAAGAACTTCTGAAAAGTGAAGGAAGCGAAGTGATGCAACAGTGACAGAGCAGGCAGCAACACACCTGCAAACGGATTCAGTGAATTCAGCGGGCAGCACTGAAGCGACGTAGTGGAAGTCGAATTTCCCACCGTTCTTCTGGATCGCGAAGAACATTGCAGCCACCGCCTCGGGCGTCCAATTGGCTGGCATTGTCGTGTTGGGAGGACTTTGAGGGTGTGTAGAGTATGTGGGACTTCGAGTGCAGAGTGTTTCCGGGTCTGCGCTTGGCTGTGGAAAGACTGGAGAGGATTGAAGAGAAGAAAACAATTCGTTTGAAGCAGAAAGGAGTCTGTGGGGTGAGGCAGTGAAGGGGTGAAACTTGAGGTGACAAACGCGGGGAGGCGGTACCTCAGCTGTTCAGGTTCGCGGTTCATTCGAGTCGCGATCTCAGCGAATTGGGCGCGTGTGGCGGGACCGTGAAGACCAAGGACAGCGAACAACATGGCCTTGTCCTCCGCATCTGACATCGGCGTGGCAGGCATGATATGCGACTCAATTTGGAGGTGACGAAGATGCGTTGGACGTTCGGTCGAGGGAGGAAATTGTGACGGACTGGTTGGGCAAACGGTGGACAAAGCAGGGTGCGCGGTGACCAAGTAGAAAAGCCATGCGCTCGCGAAGAAGGAAAAGATGGGGGAAAAATGACATGCGAGCAGTGAAGACAGCGGAGTATTGGCGACTGACCGGATGACGTCTGGGTTGCGGTCCATGCGCTTTCCGATCTCAGCAAATTTGGCGCGCGAAACAGTGACATCGAGGTCGACGATGAGGAGCAGCAGAAGCTTCTCCTCAGCATCTGACAACGGTCCAGTCGGCATTTTGTCGGTTTGCAGTGATTGAGTGAGATGCTTGCGTTTGCGTGTCGAAGAAAGGGAGTGTGGTAGACGAAGTTTGCGAAGTGGATGAAAGGGTCGCAGGGATTTTGAGGAGACAAAAGAAATGGTCTGGGTCAACTGTGCCAAGAGCGAGCGACTCACTTGACAACTTCCGGTTGACGGCCGATAACTTTGCCTATCTGTGCAGCTTCGGCAGCCGTCAACGTCGTCTTGGGGTCTCGATCCAGCAGCGTCAAGAGCATGATCTTCGCTTCTGCGTCGGACACGGAGACTTGACCCATCTTGACTTTGGAAATGTGTAAAGGGACAGTAGATTCAGGAGTGGGTCGAGTACTTGTGGATTTGGACGGCAGACGGGATACGAAAAAAAGGAAAACGTTCGTATGCAGGATGGGGTTGTATCGTGGAAGTGTCCAAGTGAATGAAGGGCGCGAAAATGGAACATCCGTCAACCAGAGAGCCGCCGGTGAGGCAGCGTTGAACTGTAGCGATATCAGAGGCATGCACAGGACTTGCTCACTTGATAGTTTCCGGGTGGCGGCCGATTCTGTTGCCGATCGCTTCAGCCTCGGCACCCGTCATCTTGCGATTGGGAGGCAGCAACCCCAGAAGAATGGCCTTCGCTTCAGCGTCGGACACTGGGGCATCTGGCATCGTGGGATCGGGACGATACAACGAGATGGAGCAAAAGGGTGCTTTGAGTCGCTATCGGCTTGGACGGCGGACGGAACCTTGGGTGAAGACGAAGAGAGGGATCCAAGACGACCTTATGTAGCCGAAATTCGTGATCAAATGAGGCGCGCAGAGGAGCGTCCGACGAGAGAAACGACAGTGAGGCAGCACTGAGTGAGAATGTAGCGAAATCAGAAGCATGCACAAGACTCACTTACCTTACATTGCTCACCGAACGGCTGGTGAGGGTTGCGATCTGGGTGGCCTGAGCATCGGTCATGGACTGGTTGGGCGACATGAGGCAGAGAAAGTAAATCCTCGCCTCTGCGTCAAAAGCGGTCACAGTGCCGGGCATCGTGTCTTCCAAAATGTATAGCGAATCCGGTAATAGGTTGTGATCGGCGGAGGATAGGGATGTGAAGAACGAGGTGGGATAGACAGGCACAAAGACGAAGATCGTGCTTCCGATGGACCAGGGAAGAGATTGCACCAGATGAAGGTCGACAGAGCTCGGGAGACTCGCAACGGACGGAGTGTGATGTGCACGCAGTGAATGGAGCAAGGTGTGTCCGGGGCGGGCATGGCAGCTTACCTGACAGCTAGTAGAAGTCAGCTCAATGCAATCGTGGTATCACCCAAAACATACCATTCCAACTCATCGTTACACCAAGTTGAGCCAGCTTCGCGGAGATCTCATCCTGCTCTTCTCGAGTTAAGTTGCCCTTCTGAGCGACGAGGGCCGTGAACAAGGCGCTGTGGTCTTCTCAGCTCTCGCCTTCTGTGAGGTTGTGTTTACTCACCGGTCGTTGGAGGAGAGTTCGGACATCTTTGCAGAGCCGTGAGTGATTGCGTATTGGACTAGATGCCTGCGTGCGGCGTTGATATTTAGCAGGATTAGGACCAAATGTTGCGCGAATCCGAGAACGAGATCAAAGACAACCTTGGAAGGCTGGCTCAGGTAAACGGACGGGTTGCCAAGACTTTCGGCAAGCGCACGAGGCGACGAGGCGTGAGGGCCGTGAACGTCCATCGCATTAACCAATCACACTCGCAAATGTTGCCATCTTCCTTACATAACAAGATCAGCAACAGCGACAAACTACTCGTCATGCCTCGCCAACCTCGTCAGCCGCGGCCGGCGGACTTCTGGGTCGGCATACACCAAGAATTGCTGCTGTTAGAGGTTGTGCTTGCCAAGCTTGCTCCGGATGTGCTGACAGCGCTAAACAAAGAGGTGATCGCTCAAATGGTCGGCGAAGGTAAATTGAATGAGGCTTCCGTCAGGTCGGTCCTACTTCCTACCCGCCTCGGATCCGAACTGATTTTGGCAACAGATCGAAACTTGCCCAGATCCGACAGAGGGGACTAGAGATTATCAGCAATTATGAGACACGCCAGCGTGCTGGTAACGAGAACGAACGACAGGCCGAGCAAGACGACAATCGTCGAACTGCAGGCGAGGATGAAGCGAGTGCAAGAGGTTCCGACAATGAGGCTTTCCACAACACTAATATCAATCAAGTGGCGGCTGCTGGCTCGCAAGCACATGTCCCAAAACTTCGGCGGCGAAAGAGTCGAAATCTGCCGCCTCCAGTCCATTCGACTCCTCATCCCCACAGCAATCAGAACACTGCTTCAAATCACGATGGCATTCACCAGAGCACCGCCGCACAGCTCCAAGATCGGATGGTCACGTTGAGCCTGACACCTCGTCAGAAGAGCCCAGGGTCCGCAGCCAAGAAGCGCATCAATGATCAGCTTTCCACCCAGGCCAAAGCAAATCCCAAGATCAGCCCCTCGGACAGATCGCCACCAGGTCCAGATGGCGACAGTAGTCAAAAAAAGCGCCGGCGTGGTGCAAATGAGTATGGTTCTCACGATGAGCGCCCTAGTTCGCCCAGTCCCAGAAATGTAGAGATCATGGATGCCAACAGAATTTCTCAAGGCGAAGAGGAGATGCAGCGCCCGCAAAGCGTCAAGCGTGTGAAGGTAGAGCCAAACATCGATCCAGAGTCGTTGGACTACATGAGTTCCATGCCAGACGCGCCATGGAGCGGAGGTCCTAAGAAAACAGGGCCAGGGTCAGCTCAGGAGCCGTATACCCTTACCGACGGGGATAGCGATGCCGACGAGCCGGGAACGCCCAGTCAGAGTCATTTCACCCAGAGCAGCGAAAAGAAATCTGCCGCCACGAAAGCACATCCACCTAGCCAACGCCGGAGTACATCTGATCGATCCGGTACTGGCACCTCGAGCGAAAGGCGATGGGATCCCGTACCAATGAGAAAGACCGCGAAGCCGAGAGTGCAACCAGCCCACAAGGCGTACACAGGCTGGAATCCGGTGAACCAGCCTAAGAGTTCGAAGAAGTCGAGCAAGCAGCGAGTGCCGTCCGGCAAACTTCACACGAGAGCAGCCCCGTATCCGAATGACCGACTGGGAGGCGGCCAGATCATCAGAGAGGTCAGCATAACCAAGTCAGAGGCAGAGCGGAATCGCGGGTATCCCAGCGATGAGGTCCCGCAGGCACCAAGCAGTCGTGACAGTTGGACACGTCAGAGGACGCGAATCAACGATCGGGTTGGATGAAGCTTATGGACCTGTGATGAATAGACCTGCAAGGCTCTACGAATGAGAAGGTCTCGCAATGTCAATAAGACACACTGTACCCAGAAGACGCCACAGAGCACTGTAATGAGAAGATGATTGAGGTCGAAATTGAGCTGGCGACGGCCGGGGCAACGAACGAGCGCCGAGACTTCCAGGTCCGAGTTCATGTTGGCTCAGCCCCCCCATGCCCGCTTGTATGTTTAGAACAATTCCATAATCGCACTGCGAAAAGGCTTTTTGTACTATTGAAGCATTCTCTGCGACGTTGGTTTGATCTGCATTTCCCTCGCCGCCTGAACTTATCGGATCTGCCTGATTGTACGTTCTTCACCCGAAACTTCGAATATTTATCGCCTACGCACGCACTCATCACTCTCCGATCCTTCAACGTATCTATCGAGCGTCGCGCAGAGTTGAACGTTCTTCTGACTCGCGCAGCCAGTACATCCGTCTAAGCACTCCGCCTTCCACAGTATCTCGCAGTCATGGCAAGTCCTCCTCCGCCCTGTCCGACAGAATCCGCTAACTCATGCCGCAGCCTGTCTCAGGGTAAGCCAACAGAACAACGCAGTGCCTCGACGAAACGCTGGATCTGGCGTACTGACGTTTCGAACAACAGGTTAACTGTCAACCCCGAGTGCGTTTCCGCATTCAACGACCTCAAACTCAAGGCCGGCGTGGCGGTCCGAAATACATAATCTACAAGATCTCCGACGACCAGAAAGAGATTGTCGTGGACGAGATCGGCTCCGAGTCTGACTACGATGCCTTTCGCGAGAAGTTGATTAGCAAGAAGGAGAGCTCAGGCAAGGATCGCCCGTCGTACGCCATCTACGATGTTGAGTTCGAGCTCGAGGGCGGTGAGGGCAAGAGGTGAGGCTCACAGAATATGCTTCAGCCGGTCAGGCGCTGATGTCAACAGGTCCAAGATCGCTTTCATCACATACATCAACCAGGATGCGACTGGCGTCAAGGCAAGCTCCTCCAGCACATGATTAACGAGCTACTAACGATGTGCCAGTCCCGCATGGTGTACGCCAGCTCGCGCGAGACTCTCAAGAACGCTCTCAATGGCATTGCCATGAACTGGCAAGCCAACGACAAGGGCGAGCTGGAGTGGGCTGATCTACTTAAGGAGGCTAGCAAGGGCAAGGGCACTGTCTGAGCGAGTCTTGACCATGTTGTGCTCAACGATAGGGTGTCACGAGGAAGGTCTTCGACGGGAGATGCACGATCTCGGCGGACAACAATCCCAGGGTCAAGCTATGCGCATACGATCGACTTGACGAGGCACGGTGCTGGTCCTGGTAGCGAAGGATAGCACAAATTACACGATAGAAACGAACTTGATCGATGGCAGTATGCGTGCAAAAATCGCTGCGCGCGCCCAGTCGATCTTCTCAACCATAGACATTCTACCGTGACCTACCCAGTCTTTGCAAGCTGATCTATTGTGCGTATGATTACAATGAACATGAGCTTGATCTGAATCCGTTCTTGTCTGAGTGTTCCGACGATGCCAAGACTTGCCGGAGGCTCCACTCCGAGCTTCAGGTTCTGTCGGCAACTGCGACTCTTTCCGCGACCTACGACATCTCACACGCCCAAACACACCGTCCAACAGTTCGACGAATACTGGACTTGGGCGTGAAGCTTCAGGCTTGAGCACGCAGCCCAGGCTCTTTCCTTTCTCATGGTCTAGAGGCCTTCCTCGCAACCGAATCTCGACATGTATCTCCGCTCCTTACCCCGTGCAGCGAAAGCTGCCAGCGTCTGCAGCTCGAAACAAGCCACGACGTGCGTCCGAAGCTATCAGACGACCGCTGCTCGCCTTGCGCCATCCTTCTCCGCCGCTCACCATGGTCCCATGACCAGCCAGTCCCAGTCGCGCGGTGCTCACGCCATTTCCAACCCTACATTGGCCGGAATTGAGAAGAGATGGGAGGGAATGCCACCACAAGAGCAGGCTGAGCTTTGGATGCAGCTGCGAGATCGCATGAAGGTTCCGTGGCACGAGTTGACATTACAGGAAAAGAAAGCTGGTACGTGCTCTTTCTACGTCATGCAGGTGGAATGAGGAGCTGGACTTGTCTATGGCAACCTGAGTCTGCCTTGTGTTCGCCCTGGTCGCTGTCAAATATGCATACTGACTGGAAGTAGCCTGGTGGATTGCGTTTGGTCCTCACGGTCCTCGAGCTGAGACACCTCCCGGAGAGTGGTCAAAGGTTTTGATTTATTCCGCCATTGGTGTCGCCATCTCATCCGCCCTCTTCTTCACTATCCATTCCTTCGCACGGCCGCCTCCTAGGACTATGACCAAGGAGTGGCAGGAGGCTACCAACGAGTACCTCAGAGTGAGTCTACTACACGCCTTGGAAAGCAAAAGCTAACCCGTGCAGGCCGAGAAATCCAACCCCATTTACGGTATCAGCAGCGAGGGCTACAAGGGCAAGGGTCACGTTCAGAGCAAGTCTGCGAAGTCACAGGGAATCGTATTGGAGCCAGAAGAGTAGATGCAGGGTTCAAGACGAGGAAGTTGATAGGCGTCGAAGGTCGAGTAGACCTAAACCTGTACTTTTGCAATCATTCTGGCGAAGGCAGATATCCTCTTTGTGTACATACACACTACTGCAGCTCCGCAAGTTCTCCCAAAGCATTGACTGAGATCATCCGCATTCCTCCAGCAATGTCTTTGCAACGTTGAAATCGAATGAAGGTCGACTCAGGCGTGGAATTCGCGCGGTAGCTTGATCACGTGGTGCCAAGCTTTGATGCTAGCTTCCGAGTCGAAGCTCCGAATCTGCATCAATCGACCTCTACTCCCTCCTGTTATTTCCTTCAAGCACAGCTCTTGCTCTCCTCTCCTTCATCCCATCACATCTCGCAAACATGCTGAAGAGGTATGTGTGCTCACTTCGCCGACCATGCATTGATTCGAAAGCTGACTCTTGACAGCGGCGTGGCCCGCGCTGCCGGCGTGTTGAGCCAATCTGCTCGACCTTCCTTTGCCCGAACTGCTTTCCGCAAACAGGCTGCACCAGCTTTCGCACAGACTTTCGCGCGGAGATGGGCCTCGACTGAGACAGCCAAGGATGGCAAGATCCATCAGGTCATCGGTGCCGTCGTTGACGGTAAGGAAACGCCACCGCAGTCGCAGTCGAGCTCTGGGAAAAGCTGCACCGAGCTTCCAGAGCTCTCGAAATCGATACGGATGGATGGCTGACGTGCTTGGAACACAGTGAAATTCGATGGCGATGTCCTTCCTCCCATTCTCAACGCCCTCGAGACCGACAACAATGGCCAGCGTCTGGTTCTGGAAGTTGCAGTATGCAGGACAATTATCATGGGAGAAGAGCTTTACTGATGCGCTATGCAGCAACATTTGGGCGAAAACGTCGTCAGATGTATTGCCATGGACGGTATGATCACCACAGAAGGACATCAGAGCACATTTCTGACGCGCTACAACAGGTACCGAAGGTCTCACCCGTGGTCACAAGGCCAAGGATACTGGTGCTCCCATCTCGATTCCTGTCGGTCCCGGCACACTCGGTCGCATCATGAATGTCACTGGCGAGCCCATCGATGAGCGAGGTCCCATCAAAGCCACCAAGCTTGCTCCCATCCACGCTGCCGCTCCCGAATTCGTCGAACAGTCCACCTCTGCTGAAATCTTGGTCACGGGTATCAAGGTCGTCGATCTACTGGCTCCTTATGCTCGTGGTGGAAAGATTGGTCTCTTTGGCGGTGCTGGTGTCGGAAAGACTGTGTTCATTCAGGAGCTCATTGTGAGTTTGGACGACACTTGGACTGGCCTGTGCTAACTCGCCACAGAACAACATCGCAAAGGCTCACGGTGGTTACTCCGTCTTCACCGGTGTCGGTGAGCGCACGCGCGAGGGCAATGACTTGTATCACGAAATGCAGGAGACTTCCGTCATTCAGCTTGATGGCGAGTCAAAGGTCGCCCTGGTCTTCGGTCAGATGAACGAGCCTCCTGGGGCTCGTGCACGTGTGGCCCTCACGGGATTGACCGTTGCTGAGTAGGCATCCCGCCAAACGCTTCTTTTGCGATCACTGACATGGGCTTTCAGATACTTCCGTGACGAAGAAGGCCAGGATGTGCTCCTCTTTATCGACAACATCTTTAGGCAAGAAATCCCACCTCTCTGCTACGAGATGCAGGATCACTGACATTCTATAGGTTCACTCAAGCCGGTTCTGAGGTGTCTGCTCTGCTTGGTCGTATCCCATCTGCCGTCGGGTACCAGCCTACTCTCGCCGTCGACATGGGTCTCATGCAGGAACGTATCACAACCACCCAGAAGGGTACGTCTTTTTGCCTTGAGAATTAAGTGACCATAGCTGACACACCCGCTAGGCTCCATCACCTCCGTCCAGGCCGTCTACGTCCCTGCTGACGATTTGACTGATCCCGCCCCAGCAACAACCTTCGCCCATCTGGACGCCACCACTGTGTTGTCTCGCGGTATTTCCGAACTTGGTATTTACCCTGCTGTCGACCCTTTGGACTCCAAGTCTCGTCTCCTTGACCCCCGTGTCATCGGACAGGACCACTACGATGTCGCATCCCGAGTCCAGCAGATGCTCCAGGAGTACAAGTCGCTTCAAGATATCATTGCCATTCTTGGTATGGATGAATTGTCAGAAGCCGACAAGCTGACCGTCGAGCGCGCTCGCAAGCTGCAACGTTTCCTCTCACAACCTTTCACCGTCGCTCAGGTCTTCACTGGTATCGAGGGCAAGCTGGTCGACCTCAAGGACACAATCGCCTCGTTCAAGAAGATCATTGGTGGTGAGGGTGATGATCTGCCAGAAGGTGCTTTCTACATGGTTGGCGACTTCGACTCGGCACGTGCGAAGGGTGAGAAGATTCTGGCTGAGCTTGAGGGCTCCTCATAGATATCAGGGACAATGGTGGAATGGTGATTGCAACGTGAGTGTCAAAAGCAATCCACACATGTCTTGATCACTCCTCAAACACGGCCATGAGCAGAAGCGAGCGGACTTCTCTTGGTCAGGAGCGTATGTACAGTGAGGAACAGATGCGGCTCCTCTGCTCAGTCTCTGGCTACGGGCACATCTTCTACTTAGCGTCTGCCTTGAGAAAAATGTACTGTTAGAAGCTGCAGGACTCCTGATTGCATTTACCCCGAAGTCGCGACGGTCACGGTGACTTCTGCCATTCATGGGATTCAACGTGTGCATCGCAGCTTCCAACTTGGCGCGACCATACTTCGAACAGACCTGCCACTGCAAGTTGCGTCACTGCAACCAACACCCTGCCGCGTCTTCCCAGCATGGACCGCGTGGTGTCAACTGTCCCAGCCTGTCCGCGTTGTTTCAAATATCTCAGATCTGGGTGGCCAGACCCTATATAGAGCTCAACCGGGCATCCTGACCTCCGGCACGAGCTAATATCAGTGGCTACGCAAGCATGGCTTCCTGCATCTCGGAGCCTCATACCCTATAGCCCACTTCGGAGACCTACGACGAACCGGCAGATTTTGATATTATCAGCCTCAACCTAAATTTACCATCGTATCTAGGGTAGGACAAAAGTCTAGACCCGGAAACCAAATCCGTGTGGGCTGGACGGCGATCACAGATTTGTCGGATGAACTGTCCGAACTTAGAATCTCACCACCCTCAAGCAGACCGCTCCGCCTTTATGCAATGATCTGAGTCTGGCGAGTCTAGACCATGGCCGTGGTCCACTGTCGTTGGCGACCGTTGTGCCAGCATGGCGCGGCGCGCTTGGCTATTTCAAATGCATTCATGGCTCGGTGAGTTATAATCATGTGTAAGCCCCCGCCCCAGCGACAACCAGCACATATTACGCCAGAGAGGAGCTGGAGTCGTCGAAAGCTTCATCAACATAGCAGCGACGATGCAAGCTCGCCCGCCAGCTCTGGCGCGAGACTCGACGGCCTCCTCAACGCTGACCACTTCTGGCACCTCCGGATCATCCAGTCAGACCTCATCTTCGGCTTCGCTGTCGCTGCCTGTCGAGTTCTGGGGATTCGACCCCATGGATTCTCTACCGAAGGAGCCAACTCGACCAGGTACCGCTGCATCTGGATCTCAACCCTCTGCTGTTGGACCTAACCCGCGTGCAGCAAGCCCACTGCATGGACGAGGGCGTACCAGTCATTCAGCACGTCATTCAAGTCCATCAAAAGGGGCCAGCGGTATTTTGGACCCTCTGCACCAGCTTGCCGATGCAGCGAGTAGGGTGAAGAAACAATCTTCAGGAAGCCAGCGAGAACGTTCGCTCGAACTACCCCCAATTACGGCGGCGGGACTATCGTCATCACACTCCGGGCACGTCAAAAGCCACTCTGGGACAGTCAGCCGTCTGGTGGTACGTACTAGCTCAGCAGAGCCAACGGCGTTGCCACTACGTACGCAGCAGCGCCCGAGATCTCAAGACAATGATCGACGAGAACGAGCAAAAGCGTAGTATCTCGCAAAGTTCCTACAGGAACCTGCTTCCAGAATCGAAATCCGCAATCGGCAACCATTCATGAGTGTGCCCGGCCGCATTCGCAAGGACGGCTGGGGACCCCTGCGTCTAAACGGTGGATAAAAGGCCAGAAGAATGACGCCCGTGTCTCGTCACCTTAGATGACAGCAGACGAACACGCTCACGCAGAGGTTATATTGAGCTGGGGTCATGGCATCGTTAGACCTCCACAATTCAGCACGAAGCTCACCGAGACAAAGTAGTCAGAGCCGCGTGATGAATATGGCACTGCCACCAGCCGGGTGAACTCTTTCAGGGGGATGAAACCACATGCTATGCACGGGCGTATCGAGATAGCTTCCCAACCGGCAGATCCGAGGTCAACAGATGTGACGACTACAAGCAGATGGAAGAGAGTGAGCTTTTGGTCAAATTGAGCCGGCTCCTGAGCCAAGGGTCGGGCATTTGAGAAGCTATGTGACCCAAGACAAGGCGTACTTCGTTTCGACGAAACTTGATTTCATGCAGAGTGGAGCTTAGAGCTCACGAAGGTCTCCAGATTTTGTACCGCCGTGGACGGTATATGAACACTTCGATGCTGCCAGACGCTTTACCGATGAAACGGCGATATAGAGGCCCCTGACAAATATCATGGAACCTGCGTCCACGCAGCACGGCAGCGACCTTGACAGATAAGATCCTCGTCATGATCTTGATGCGCTCGTCGCCTGTCCTCTCATCATGATCCTCATGGTCGACTTCATAATCGTCAACACCACTATCGGCCTCGGCATCATGATCTTTGTCTACCTCACCACCAGCTGCGTCGCCTTCACCGAGCTCACCCTGGTCTTCGTCTTCGTCAACCTCGTAGATCGTCTCCAAGCTGTCTTCGTCATTCTCGTCGAACGCCTCCGAGCCGTCTCCGTCAACCTCGTCAATTGTCTTCAAGCCGGAATCTTCACTTGCGTTCACCACCGCATTCGATCCCGTCCTTGTTGTGTGCGTGCACCTCACTGGTAGCATCTTCGCAATCGCTACGCTGATGCTCCCTTGCGTCTTCATCAACCTCATCAATCGTGTCCTGGCCTTATTCTTCAACTCCATGACCCAAAGCATTGCCAGCAATGACTTGGCTTGAATCATCAGCATTCGGTATGTAAGCGGCTTTCCTTCGTCCTTCTCCACGTCTGCTCTTACACAGGTCTGCAGGTACTTCAGGACCACTACGAGCTCCTTGAACCACTGCAAATACTCCAGGGGCACTGTGGACTCATGTGGATAGCCCATTCCCGCGACAATACCCTTCATCAGTGGTCCGGCTTCGTGCAGCAGAAAACGTCGTTCGGCTAGGAAGTTCTTAGTAATGCCGAGAATGATGAGCATGTCGGCACTGGCTTGCAATTGTTGGGGAAGGTCGGGCTTAAGTCCCTGGCTATCGAAGATGTCGAGGCCGGCATCAATTCTGTCGTCCAGGTAGTGTTGGTAGGCTTGGTAGTGTTCCTCGTAATAGTCACCCTCACTCTCGCTGAATTCATTCATGGCTTGCGAGCCAGTGCCGACGGTTCTGGCCAGGGCAGCCCTTTCTTGCAAGTTGTCGGGGAGATCGGGAATAAGCCGCAGGTCATCAAGGACCTCGAGTCCAGCGTCAATGTTGTCGTTCAAGAAGTATCGCAGGGCACGATTGGGCTGCTGCTTGGAATGACACTCAACCGCGTTGAGCCCAGCCATGGCTTGCGAAGCTCGATTTTTTCTGTGACATATGCGGCAAGAGTCTGAGCAAGGTGATGGCTCAAAGCGTGAGGCAGAGAGGTGGGCGAAAAACAGACCGAGAGCGTGCACAATTGAAAGGGACAGCGATTATTATCCTCGAGCCAACCTTGACTGTCACTTTGACCTGTTTGCTACGTCAAAGCTAGCTCGACGCTTCCCAACGTCGGTTTTGTCAAGGACAACGCAAAGCATAGCTATCATACGCTTCACTTGCTATCCCCAACAAGCGCAACCCGCACTTCGAAAGGCCGAAGCACTAAAACCTTGTCCTTCACGACCGGTGCTCCTGAATACGTCCCAAGCACTTCCTTTCCACTCTTCAAGGCTTCCTGGAACTCCTTCGGTGCCTGCCACTGAACATCCTCGTCCACGAAATTCAGCACCACAAATGCCACCACACCATCCTCCTCAACTCGTTTGTACGCAATGACTTTCTCACTCCCATCCAACACCATCTCAAACCTCCCGTACACAAAGGTATCCTTGTACTCCTTCCTCACCTTCAACAGCTTCCTCCAATAATTCAACACACTCCCTTCCTCACCCTCTTGCTTAGCCGCGTTGATTTCCTTGTAGTTGTCATTCATCCTCATCCACGGCTTCTGCCCATCCGCAACCTCGAAGCCACCACCTTCCTGACCAGTCCACTGCACCGGACTGCGCGCATGATCCCTAGCCTTCTTCCGCATCTCCCCCAGCACCACCTCGAACGCCTCTTTATCACCCGTCCTTGCCAAATCTGCCTCGGCTTCTTTGTACAGGTTTTGTGTTTCGATGTCTTTATATTCTTCAGGGCCCCATGTCTTGGGCAGATTCGTCATCCCCAGCTCCTGCCCCTGATATACATACAGCGTCCCCTGCTGACACGCGATAAAGGTCGCCAACATCTTCGCCGCTAGCTCACGGTGTTCGGGCCGGTGAATTGTAAAGCGGCTGACACTTCTCGCTTGGTCGTGGTTTTCGAGAAATAGAGCGTTCCAGCCGTCGACGTCCCACATGAAGGTCTGCCAACGATTGACTATTGCTTTGAGGGTGTTGGCGTCCCAGGTACGAGGGGAGAACTTGGTCCCTGAGCCGATGTCCATGTCGACAATGCTAGTAAACTTGTTAGCGGCGAGCAAAGCGTATAGGGGAGAGGGGGTGTCAGGAGGAGATCGCTTGCCGCTCTCGATCCAAGACAAAAATGGGTGCTGAGACTTACTCGAACTGGAAAATCATATTCAACTCCTTCCGTTCAGCACTCACAACACTTGCCACCTGCTCGTCTTCATTCACACAAGGCATCTCCCCACCGCAAAGGCATCGTACTCATCCAACACTTTCCTCAGTCCCCTGAGATATTCATTCAACCTAGGCCCATACGCAAACCACTTCGCTCCCGGCTGCCACTCCTTCCCTTCCCACACGACCTCCGCATCCGGCAACCCGGGCTCCTTACTTATCATGTTGATGACATCCATCCTGAACCCATCCACGCCCTTTTTGAGCCAGTAGTGCATCACGTCGTGCACTGCTTCGACGACGTCCGGGTTCTCCCAGTTCAGGTCGGGCTGTTCCGGGGTGAAGAGGGCGAGGTAGTACTGCTGCCGTACCTCATCCCAACTCCACGCGCTGCCGCCGAACATGCTCGCCCAGTTGTTTGGTGGTTTCCGCTGCCCCGTCGTTGAGTCTACTTTGGCGTCCCGCCAGATATACCAGTCCCCCTTATCGCCCTCGCGACGACGGCTGGACCGGAACCAAGCATGCTGGTCCGAGGTGTGGTTCACCACAAGATCCATGATCACTTTCAACCCCATCCCGTGCGCAGTACCAATCAGCTCCTCCACGTCCTCGAGCGTGCCGTAGGGCGGATGGATGGCGCGGTAGTCCGAAATGTCATACCCCATGTCCTTCTGCGGAGAGGCGTAGATCGGGCACAGCCAGATGGCATCGACGCCGAGTTTGCGGATGTAGGGGAGCTTGGAGATTATGCCGCGGATGGTGCCGTGGTTGACGGTCTGGTTGGGGTGGGTGGCGAAGGAGGCTGGGTAGATCTGGTAGATTGAGGCTTCTTTCCACCAGGCGCGGGTTGGGGGCTTAGATTGGTGGTGGGCGAGGGGGTTGTGGGTGCTTTTGGTGAGGCAGGCCATGGTGCTGGATGCTAGCGCGGCGGCTGTGGTCAGTCTGTGCAGATGCTGTATAGTCAAGCACACGCTGCTTTAGCTGTCAGTTGTGTCCTGCTAGAAGTTGAGAATTGCCCAGAAAATATGATTATTATTGAGGAGGACGTTTATATTCCTTTATTGCTGGAGAAGTCATCAGCTTCTCAGGAGCTGCGTAGGTCGTTGACGACCATGCAAGATTACTGAATGAGGCAAAGTAGCCGCAAGCGTTCAGACTCGTCCCATCAGCACAGCGAATGCCTGGGTATGGTACGTTGCATGATGAAGTTGTTGCATTCGCTCCGACTGTGAAGAGAAGTGACCAATCACAGAAACCAAGCAGCATGAAAGTGGAGTCTACGTTTGATCACGAATGATCTTCCATATTTCCTCTTTTGGATAGTTGACATTGCAGTGGAATTGCCAACCACTCACGAAGCGCACTTGTGTGTTTGATGGTGGTGACGGAGTACTCTGTTGGACGTCGACGTCGGACGACAGCAGGTATGTTGCGTATGAGCCTGCGGCGTCAAAAAATGGAGATAACTTCCAATATTGCCGTCGGCGCGCACCTGCCCGGCAGATCAGTTCTGCGTAAGCGTCACGGTATTTTACATGTTGTACGTATGCTCATCGCCGCTTCATCAAGCATTTCTCAGAGCCCAAACCCAACCTCCGCTTCCGCCGGAATTGTTGTACATGTCTGATTGTTGCTGCAATTTTGTACATCGCGAGACCGAATGCGTCCCGCGCGAGGGCTTGGGGAACGTCGCATCGATGCTCCTGCTCTCTGGAGGTGGACCACTGGGAAGTGCCGAGGAACCCCAAAGCAAAGGTTTGGTGCCGCGTTGCCAACTCAGGTAGCACGTTCCAGACGCGAGCGTCAAGTGCTGCTCACCAGCAAGACTCAATTCAGGCTGGTTCAATGGTGTGCTGAGGTGCTTGTGTATCTGCTTTGCCTGGCCAACAATGGCCGCGCGTCTGGTGTTCTGACCGGCCTGCATCAGGAGCCCATGCCGCGGTTGCTCAGGGAAAGTACTTCGCCAGGAGCCGATCGCGATGTCCGACAAGATTGCCGTGTTGGCGTAGAGAATCAGCTAGCACTGTGCTCGCCCAATTCATGTTGTCGTCAAGAAGCAGGTGTGTGTATGCGAAGACGCTTGCATCGAACAGCCCAGGCGAAGCCTCACCAAAGAAGTGATCATCATTGCCCAGCAAAGTCGAAAGCGCTTGGAAGGCGGTGGCTGCTCGGTCATACAGCTCATCGGAGTCGATCAAGACAGCACTCTTGAGAAGCTCATCGCGAGCTGCTGACTTCAGCTGCCAAGCGAGACTTTTCTGTACGAGGACGTTTGATGATGCGGATGCGCAGTACAAGGGAAAAGCGACTTGGTCAAAATTGTCCTGGTCGAGGTACAGAAAGTACAGCCATGCAAGGCGGATGTCATGATCTACCAGGGCCGTGTATGCCTCTTCTCGCGGGTGTACGATTTCTTCGCGTTTGGATTGGCTCGTGATCCATTTCGGTATCTTGCTGGCGGTGATGGGCGAGCTCGGGCGTGATGATGCTGCCGGGACGAGGAATGGAAGAGAGCCGGAGGGAGAGGAGTGGTTGTTGGACGCTCGGACTGCGTGCCGTATGTCATGAAAGCGCAGCAGAGCCTGGTATTTCAGACATGCCGGATTGCACGACGGATCTGATGCCGAACGTCGACCTTGCCACAGGTACAGCAGCGTTCCGGTCTCGGTCGTCGCTGCTGCGGGCAGTGGATGGGCACTGTAGGTTCGGAGAGGAAATCGCGAGAACAAATCGCGAATGACTTCAGGCAGCTGAAACCATGTAGACTTCTGCTCGCCCATCGATAGGCTGCGCGTTTCTGGTTATCGATTTGTTGATTCAGCTTCTCTCGGAAGCCTCGCCAGCTGTACAACTCGACCGCAGCGAACGATGTTTTATGGAGTTGATGCCTGAAAGAAACTGAAAAAGGTACTTGTGACTGCAGTTTGTTGGAGAAATTGAGCGGCAGTCACGAAAGCTTATCCCCAGATCAGCCTGGCGGCGGCTGCTGCCGTCGGAGGTTATTTGTACCCTTGCCCCTCCGCACGAGTCCCTCCACATGTCTCTTGTCTTCCTGAATTAAAACAACTGTCACCTCACAGTCCAAAATTAAATTACTGCTGAGCACAAAATCGACTCACATCTTCCTCTTCTCAATATTCACCCCCTCCGAACGTTACCATATCTGCTCATCACCGCAATATTCTGCTCATTCCTGCCAGACCCTCGGCGCTTCGCACGAGGAGGCCTCTGCAGGTAGCCGTTGCGGACCCGCCAATCCTCAGCGGCCCATTGGGCACGTCGACATCATGGTGCAGAAGAAGAGTCCCACGCTCCGCGCCAATTCATCGACGGCAAGACGTATGCCTGCACCGCGTGTAAGAACGGTCATCGTGTACGCAGCTGCAACCATGGAAGGAGTAAGCCGATAGCACCCACTGCCGCACCAGGACGACCATCGAGCGGCTCGCAGAAGCGCAGATGCGAGTGTCCACGAGACTGCAATTGCCAAGGCAATTGCAAATGCACCAACAACAGCTGCGTGTGCACCCAACGCATGTACTTGATCTGCCTCGTCTCACAGAACGACCCCATCAAACGCTCCACCAGCCCACTCCCGCCGGTGTGGAAGAATGAGGATGGCCAAGCCGAAACTCTCAAGTCAGTATGGGCCGATGCATCAGGACAGCAGATCAGTGACGTCGAAGCCGAGCGTCGTCAGCGCGAGAAAGAGCAGCGCGAGCAGAAGCAAGCACCTGGAGGTTGCTGTGGTACCAAGTCGAAGGAGACAAAGTCTGGCCCAAGTGGCTGCCGCCATCTCGAAAACATCAAGCAAGAACAGATCACCGACATTCCCGCCTTCACAGATGTCCCCGAAGCCGAGAAACGGTGCAGCTGTGGTCCAAATTGCGAGTGCATTTACTGCAGCGAGCATCCTAACAATCTTGCCAGCCGACAGTACAACGCCTCACAATTGAGCTTCATGTCAAGTCAGAACTACTACATGCCCTCGTCATCCGCCCAAACTGGCCCCATTTATGCGCCGGCTGCACCTATGGAGAGTTGTACAGGAGGTTCGGCAAGTTTTCGCTTGACCATGAACAAGCCAAATCCAGCAAACATTCATCAGTTCTTCCCACAGGCAACCACTGGCGACGTCATGATGAGCTACCCGATAGAGCAAAACGCGTGGCCAGAATCACCAAATTTCGATCAACCACTCGATGCTTTCCAGCCTGGTCCTTCCCCACCGTCGCTGCCCGACCTTCCGGAAAACGCAGGTTTCGACGTGCCTCCTCTTGATCCGAATATGAACTGGATGGCACAACACCCCAATTGGGAGATGCACCTCGGAACCGGCCACGTCGATCAGATATTTCAATCCGATCCTTCGTCGTTGCAGATTGCCACACCCAACCATTTTGGCATGCAATCGACTCAAGCACCCATGCACTACAATACTTTCACGCCGAGTGCGCAACACTCGATACCGCCTTCAAACGATAGCATGTATGCGAGTGCGCCATCAAATTTCGGTCACACGCCAAACCCACCTTCGATGTTCTCCCCAGACTTCAGTCAGGCCATGCATTCGGATTACCAACGACAGCCATCGATCAGTACAGGGATGGCCACTCCAGGAACAACAGCCGATACACCGTCAAGGGGTAGTGTGGCTTATTCGCCAAACCCCATGCCTATCTTCCCTCCCAAACTTAGCCATTCCGAGCACTCCTCTTGGAGCCGACGACGGCCAACAATGAGCACAGCTATGCCACACTCGGTAGCGACAAATTCGATGCTGTCAAGGGGCGGTGGGAGTTGTTGTGGGGGTCCGTCAAATGATATAAACGGTACATTCTTCCCAAGCATGCCCTTATCGCCTACGATTCCACCAGATGGGTCCGTGTACCCAGGTTCGGTTTTTGGGCTGTAGCACAGCGCAGGTGGACCAGCGACTAACCACGAAGGCGTCGATCACGCCCTGAGACATTCAATTCTTGCACCAAAACGGCATCAGCTTCTTCCTGGTGGAGAAGCCGATCGTCTGAGGCACTTTAATCTCGATTGCAACAACTTTACGAATACATTCGACACTAATCACGATCATGAAGACACATCCGAGTCCCGTTCCTAGAAAATCGCCTTCTATGATATCCTTAACCCCACCTTCGCAAGCACTCCACCCCGGGTTCGAGCACCACCACCTGCCCATACCCGCCACCTCCCATACCACTCCAAGCCTGGTCGATCTCGGACATGTAGCATTGAGGTTCAGGAATTGTCAGTACGCTGCAGTCGTCCAAGACTATCCTCCAACCAGTTTGCGTACCGTCTAATCGTTCGTTATTCGACGGAAAGGTACAATTCATGCGAGCGAGGAAGGAGCTAGCTGCGTTGCAGTCGAAGAAGGAGGCGTGTTGGCGAGCTAGGAGACCGGGAAGGAGCCGCTTTATATGTATCATTAGGCCAGAAGCTACGTACCTACGTACCAGGCAAAAAGCAAGGCGTAAGGCGACTTCCAGCCGTGTAAGTAGACAGAGGGAAAGCACGGTGGCCTGTGGATACAAGTGACGTAATTGTCCAAAAATTACACTCAGCCTGAGTATCTTACATAGGAAGCTAGATGCAATCCTCTGCAAAAATCACCATCTCGAGTGACTTGACGTGAATGCTCTACTGGTAGCTATCGCTCTGATGATTGTGTCTGAAGGGTTCCATGTGGATCGCTTGCGGAAGGAGCAACTGATGGAGCAAAGAATGACAATTCCCTGACCTTTCTGCTTGTGTCACGGGTACGTCTGCTTCACGGCATGGCACAGACCTCGAGCTCGACGAAAACCTCCGGATTTGATGGCTGGCTTGGAGCCCGCCCTGGTATTGTTACTAACCTCTGGATCTTTATGGTCCAGTGACAGCTGCGATGTCCCTAGAAGTGTGGTTGTCATTTGGCAACCAATATCGAAGATAGTGCCATTCGCAGAGCACTCCTGAACGGAATTTTGTATTTGGAATGCTCCATTCTCAGAATATGCCATTTGTGCCCAACAAATAGGACCTTCGGGAGTGCCCTGAACGGTGGTTCCTGCTATTGCCTCAGCATCAAGGTAGTCCGATCACACAACCCGCATTTGAAGACTTGAGACACCACCGAAGGGCACCTGCACGCGGCCATTGAATGCACTGGGCTGCTTTGCAAACGTTTTCTGGCCCAAAAGCCACAGCAACAATGGGAGATCTCATGACTCAACCTGAGTCGTTCGCGATGTCGAGACTCATATGCAAGACTCACACGAGCAGCGTATCTTGCAAACGGTGGAAGGCATCGATCATGGCTATATCTATGCCGACCCTGGCACACAACGGGTATGACACCGGCAGCACTCCTCTACTGACAATAGCCAACCATCGAAAGAGCTCGGCAAAGGAAGACACACTCAGCCTTGAAGATTTCCGATACTCTCAAGTCCTCAATCAATATGTGTCGTGTCCTATTAGGCTACTGGTCCTACTGTCCGCGTCACAAAGATCATGTATTCAAGTGGTTCCTCGGGCCGATTTCCGCCCGCGACATCTACGAGTTGCGACCAGAACTTTGGATCCAGCCCGGGAGTGGTGTAGACTGTGATTGCGACTATGACGAGAGCAAGCGCTCTTACCTGTGGGACGTCTACTCACATCACTTCAACCGAACCTATGTATCTCTTTGCACGACGTGTATCAGCGTTCGTGGCAAGCCAAAAGCCATTGAAGGCGAACGTATACCTCCATTCAAGTTTCAGGAGCTACATGAAGTCGATTGGCAGCCCGAAATGGGCGAAGTCACAGAAATCAGCAATGAGGAAATGGGCCGTTATCTTAAAGAGGGTCCGAACGATGACCGAGACGAGTATGCGTCTGACGAAGAGAGTTTCCTTGACGCGCGGCATCATTGGAAGAGCAGGCGCCGAGCAAAGGAAGAGCAAGCCTCTGCTGAAAGTGAAGAGGACGACACCTCAAGTCAGTCATATGGTCAGACTGATACCTCAGAGGCCACAGATCATGAGACCTTCAGTCGACGAGTTTCTTCAACGTCAGGGTTTTCGCTATCAACGACTGGAGCCTCTCTACCTCGACGGAGTCTTGCTGAGATTCAAGAGGACTCGGACTCGTCCGATGATGAGTACGACTCGTGGGTCGAAGGATCCGACCGAGGACTGGCTCATCCCCTGAGTGAGACTTCTTCGCAATCTTCCGAGTCCCAGCCGCCCGTGTCTGAAGATGTTCCGGAGGAAGCGCTCTGCTCTCGCACAGACTGGCCGTCGGAACTCGAACCTCCACTCATCTCTGCGGACCGCTGGCTAAAGGGCCGAGAAAGCTCCAAGCTTACCAGAGATGAACAGGAAGACTTCCGCGAGGATTGGCTCAACATCGCTGAATGGAGCTATCTTACCGCCAACTACGAGGAGTACAAGCTGCTCATCAACAAGTTGCATCGACTCGACAAACGCTACATCAGGCGGTATCCGGGCATGATACTTCCGGAGGATCTCGACACTATCAAGTTGAGGCTGAAGCAGGTGGCAGAGAAATGGTGGAAGCAGAGAGTCGCCGCGGGGATAATTCCAGAGGGCGAAAGCAGCCGAGCAGATCGCGTGCGAGTTCCTCGCCGACGCTCGCCGTCTCCTGACTTGCCTTCTGACCGACCAGAGAGAGAAGGTCTTGCAAGATACCCGGAGCAGGAGGGCGATAGAGCCGGGGCAAAGGCCAGGGGAAAGGGCAAGCGCTGGGAGCGAGAACAGGTCGAGGTCACTCAAGCACAGGGCAGCGGCCGGGGCAACGGCAGAGGTAATGGCAGAGGCAACCGCAAGGGAGATGGACGGGGCAACGGACGAGGCCAAGGTCGGGGCGAGGCCTCGACAACACGTGGGCTGGTGCATCGGGGTCGCTGATGACCTGTGGTAGGAAGTCTTCCATGTGTGCATACACGAAGCCCGCTGGCTCGCTTTCAACAGATTGCTAAGGAGCTCAAAGGAAGCAGACTTCGACGCGGACTTGACAGCTGCCTGGGCGAGTATTCTCAGGAGGTCTACTATCGCTTGAGTATATTTTAGGTTGTATACTTTAACATAGTACGGACGAATGCCAAGCAAAAAAGCCGTCTAGCTTCTGCTATGGCAAGGCCATCTAGGCAGGATTGTTACTTCGATCCAACATGTATGCAAGCAGTAGGTAGCAGAGCGTACATCCAGACGCAGGTGCCAACCGACATCTGCCACAACGCCATGCCCATCACCACCACCACCACCACCACATCACAACCTCGCTCCCTCCTTCCCAACCTTATACCGATCCCGCAACTCCCTCCTCAAAATCTTCCCACTTGGATTCTTCGGCACAACATCCAACCACGTCACCCCGCCCTTCAGCCTTTTATAATGCACCACCTTCCCCTCCACAAACTTGACCACTTCCTCCTGCGTCACCTTCTTCCCTGCCTCGGTTGGCTGGCGCACCACAAACGCCCGCGGCGCCTCGTCTCCGTCGGGCGTAGGCATACCGATGACGGCGACGTCCGCGATGGCTGGGTGTTCGAGGAGAAGGGCTTCGAGTTCTGCGGGCGCGACTTGGTTGCCCTTGACTTTGATGAGCTCTTTGCGGCGGTCGACTATGTGGAACATTCCTGCTTCGTCCACCTAGATAGCACAACAACCTTGATCAGCGGGACAGTCCGGTCCTCGTGCGAAGCGATAACGATCGTGGGCTACCCATGCGAGGCTGGAGCGGGAAGAGAACTTACATAAGCAATATCGCCAGTCTTCAACCACCCATCCGCCGTCAACGTCTCCTCCGTAGCCTTCTTATTATGCCAGTACCCCTTCATGACATTCGGCGCACGACACCACAGCTCGCCTCGGTTATCGGGTCCACGAGCGGTGATCTCCTTGCTGGTTTCCTCGTCGACAATCATGGCTTCGCAGTTTGCGTTTGGCTCGCCGACGGCGGCGGAGTCGGCGAATTTGTTAATGTCCCAGCCGAGGAGGGAGCAGGTGCATCTGTCGGAACCACATCAGCCAGAATATCCTGGTCTACGAAGACGGCGCCAAGGGAAGCCGGTTTGCTGGAACGGGAAAGGAGCACTTACTCAGTCATCCCCCATCCCTGCCGTAGATTCACCTTACGATCCGGCTCGTCCTCCCTTTGCGAGTTGAACCTCGCCTCGACCTGCGCCGCCACGTCCCTGCCCAACGGCGCCGCGCCACACCCGATTAATTCCACACTACGCAGGTCATACTTCAACACATCTGGGTGCTTCGCCAACGCGACCGCCATCGGCGGCACTAGATTCAGGTCCGTGACTTTGTATTTCGGGATATATTCAAGCATCTTGAGGAAATCAAATTTCGCCATAACGTAAGTCGGCTTCTCGTGGTTGAAATTGCCCGCAATCAGCACGTTCTGGCCGTACGCATGGTACAGGGGCAGGTACCCCAATGAGACATGATGCTTCCGTTTCTCAGCATAGTTAGGGTGGTTCTCGGTGATCTGAGCGGACTGCAGAGTATTGGAGACGTAGTTTCTGTGGGTGATCTCCACGCCCTTGGGCACGCCGGTTGTGCCGGAGGAGTAGTTGAGGGCGAGGGTGGTGGTTTTGGCCTCGTTGGGGCCGGAGAGGTCGGGCCAGGCGAATTTGCGCGCTTCGTCGGATTTCGGGGCCATCAGAGTGGACCAGTAGCGCGCGCCGTGGCTGGGGTTGCCTTTGTTGTCGTAAATCTCGTTGTTGAAGACGAAGACGCGATCGAGGGAGAGGTTGGCTTGCTTTGCGGCTTCGACCCCTGTGGCGATGGAGTCGTGGTGGCAGATGAGGATGCTGGCGCTACAGTCCTTGAGCTGGTGGGCGAGCTCGCGTGGGGTGAAAGTCGGGTTGGCGCCGGTGTAGATCCCACCGGCCATGAGCGTGCCCATGAAGACGACGGGAACGAAGAGGTCGTTGGGGCTGAAGAGGAGGAGGCGGTCGCCTGGCTTGAAAAGGCCGGATTTGGTCAGGCCGAGGCCGAAACGTTGGCTCCATAGTTGGAAGTCTGCGCGGGTGAAGTAGTGCGTGTCGGGTCGTTCTGCTTCGGCGAAGCACATCTTGTTGGGTGATGTTGGGTCATGGGGAAGGTTGGCGGATGAGCCGAAGAGGAATGTTGTTAGTGAGCAGTCCGGGATGGGGACGTTCCAGCGAGATTTGTACGGCATCTTGGGAGGACGGCTGGCGACGTTGCTGTATCTGGAGACTTCGAGGCCGTGGAGAGGAGCGATGGCGTCCTGGCTATAGCGCGCGTAGAGGTGTCCCAAGTTGCGACTTTTAGACGACGATGTCCTCCGCGATCCCACAGACCACTAGCTCGCAGTTGGCGACAATCAGATCAGCGTCAGCTCATCCGTACCACAACGGCAAGCTTTGTTCCGTGATTACCGAATCGTGCGGGATACCGTGTAAGTTGTCGTACTTGTGCGTCTCTCTGTATGTCTAGGTACAGAAGCAATAGTTTGGGATGAGCACAAGGATATTGAGGGGAGTCAACGACTGTCGACCATCTCGAATAATTGAAAATCGAGTTGCTGATTGCCTTCGTTCGGGGCACATTTTGGAGTGCGACGCTACCTGTGCGCCACACCCCATACGAGAGGAGAGGAGCGAGGTTCATGTTTATACTAAGTCTAGGCATAACTCTTATTGGCAGGATGTGCAATAAGCGGAGCAGTGATCCCACTACCCACAGCGGACCCCGGCTTGCTGACTCGGAGTGTGGGGAGGAAGGGCTTTGGGAAGATTCTGCGAGTGTGCAGTACAGTGGAATAGAAGGTAGTTCCGTGATCCAGAAGGAAGCTTGAGAAGTCTGCCATCGCTCTGATTTAAAAACTGCTGCCGCTGCCTTTCGATCGGAAGTCACGAGCGCTGTCGAAGAGCCCCCGATGAGGCCGGATGACAGGAATATAACTTGCAGGACACAAACATGCCAGTGTTGACCATTGAATTACTGGTTCATTCCTCAACCAACATTTGAATGCCGGTGGTCTGGCCCATTACTAGAGTGCATGTACAGACTCTGTCTAATCGAAGACATCGCTGGCGACTCTAGCCTGAATCTGCTCGTTGAACCTCTCCTCCAACAATTTCTGTGCTTCCTGGTCCAGGCTCATGCCATCCCTCGCCTTCGTGGCAATCTTTCTGGCAGCCTCCGCGACCCCCTTAGCGAACTCTCTCGTCCCACACACATAAGCCCTCGCCCCAGACCTCCACAAAGTCACCAACTCCGCATCCTCCGCTGCCATCCGTTCGTGTACATACTTGCACCCTTTGGAAGCCTCGCTCTCCCTGCTGAAAGCGTACCTAATCTTTACTACACCCTGAGCCTCCCACTCATCCAGCTCTTCCGCGTACAAGATCATTGGTCTGCGAACGACATCCAAGGAATAAGACAGCGGGTGCGAGCTTCCGACCGGGATTCGAGGCCGCCTGGAGCGCTCGCTCCTGGATAAAGCCTCTGAAAGGAGCTAGCCCAGTGCCGGCTGCGAACATGATCAAGGGCGTAGCCTCCGTGTCTGCAGGCAAGCGGAAGGTTTTCTTTGCGGTGGCGCGCACACCAATCTGGAGTAGATCACCTGCCTTGAGAGTGGCCAGGTAGCTGCCTGTGACGCCCTGGAAGCGCTGCTCATGGTCTGTGGTGGATGAGAGGGCGATCCGGTCGATGACACCATAGCTGATGGTACAGTGGCCTGGCTTATGCAACGGAGTCGAAGAGATGGAGTACTGGCGCACCCGAAGGGGCGGTAGCATGGAGAGGAAGACGCCGAAGGGTAGGTCGATTGTGGGATGCGCAAGCAGGAGGTCGAAGACCGAAGTACGCTTGGTGGTGATGTTGGAGTCGAAGGCCGCGTTGTCAGAGGAGAGCGACTTAAGGAAGTCCGCCTCGGCAATGGATTGCGTGTAGTTGGCGAGCGTGCGAAGATTCTATGTGATGGTCAGCATATGAGGGCCAGCACAGCATGTCAATCAGGAACGTGGTTCGGGGCGGCATACCTTCTTGGTAGCTGGCTGTCCTAGCTCCACATAGCTTCTGAGAACATCCAGACACGAGAGAGGCACGTTAGCCGGGATCGAAGTTGGGGTGTCGGTTTTGAGAGTCATCACAGCATCCCAGGGCAGACCAAAATGGGCGAGGATCTGCCTCACTTTCTTGTCTGAGTTGAGAGGCAACACGGCGAGGTAGTCGCCGCACTCATAAGTCATGTCTGATGGTAGCTGGAGCTCCATATGCATCTTGACTGGTTCTCCAGGACCGGTGAGTTGGCGATTCTCTACCACCGTCGCTGGGCTGACGTCGTGACGAAGGCTGGTCGCGCGTGCGTCCGTGGAAATATCGATGACTTGTTCCTCACTAGCCACGAGCTCAGATGTCTTCGTTGAGGACACGCTTGGCCAGAACGAAGTATCCAGCCATTCTTCGAAATCGCTGTACAAAGTCCCACGCGCAGCATCAGCAAAGCCCACGGGTGCGAGCTTGTGTGCGCCGAAGTTGGCCATAAGCCCATCCACCAGCTTGGGAATCCGGTGGAAGGTGGCGGACCAGTCCCCTGCGTGGTGGTCAGTCTGGAGATCAGATGGATGGACGATGGAACTCACTGTGACCGCAACCAAACACAGTGTACTTCACACCCTCCAGAACCTTGCCATCAGCACTTTGAAGCCACTCCACAAACCTGGTCGCATTATCTGGAGGTTGACCTTCATACGAGGAGGTAATGACCACAATGGGCACAGCCTTCGGCAAAGCGTTGGTAGCACTGTCCATATCGCGGATTTCCGGCTTGAAGCCATGAGCAGCTGCTTCAACGGCCACTCTCTGAGCAAATGCCTGGCAGGTGCCTGTGTTGGACCCGTAGAGTATGAGCATTGGGTCCGCATTACCGATCGTCGTTTCGACATCCCCATTCGTAACATGTGCTCCGTTAGCAGATCCCAGACCATTGCTCATACCATTGCTGTGGAGGCGATCGTCAATAATGGTCGCGTCCAGGTGCGTCCGAGGAGTGACACGAATGTAGAAGTTGTCAGGCTTGACCGTGAGAG